TTTAAATCTTGGCCATGTTATCTGAGATCTTATATCTATTAGTCACTGCTGAGTCAGCTCTATGCTTAAAATAACTCTACAGGGTCAAGGTAGCCTGACTTCTAAACCAGATATATATTATTGTGTATTTTCTTCAGTTTGCATTGCTGTGCACCTTCATGGAAAGAAAAGATAACTATGCAGAGTGTAAACACCTAACGACTCAACTAATGCTTGATTTTTCCCCTGAATTGCTGAGTGTGCTGCCATCTAAAATCACTACTTATAATTTTTATACAAAAGTGTTGGTTGTCCGACCTCTAAATACTACATCTAGTATACAATTCTAAGAGTGTATTACAGCCTCATATCCTGACTGAGAACTAGCCCAAGAGGATTTATCTGTACTTCAGAACAGCTTTTATAAAAATGATTCACTGGGTCTACATTGAGGAAGGAACATACATCTTTTCAAAATGCAGCAACATATATGTATGTGTGTGTGTATGTGTGTGTGTATAGATATATATATATATAGGCAGCAACAACTTGGGATTTCAATATAGATCCACAATTTAAGTTTGCACTTTTAACTTTGATTAACTGAATATCTATCTTTGTTCTTTGACTTGCCATTTGTTTTTAACAAAACAGCTAGAGAAAGTATATTTTACTCTTCCTGTTCTATGCCTTTGGCTTCTGTGTCACAGATTGTTTTTGCTGAACTTTGTACCTGTATAAACTCTTGGCTTTGACTCACTTTGTTAAGAGTACTGGTAATAGACCAAAGCAATACACAATCTCATTACTGGAATAGTTTCTCCCTTTACTGCAGTGGTGTGCTTAAGTGGCTAGAAAAACTCGATCGCTGAACCACTCAAATTCTCATTTTCCTGAAATGTGCCTATCTTTTCAAAATGTTAATTTTTCTAGTACTCATTTTACCTGCCTTGGCCAAGAACATTATTGTATTTTATCCAATTCACTGCTGGTTAGACTCGTTTTGCAACATTCAAGATTTTGCCAGATTGAAAGTTTGAGAGGGTTTATGTTTGTGTAGAAAAATGAATTTCAGCAACTGATGCCTATCATACAACCACATAATAAACACTCCCTGCTGAAATATTGTCTTCTGCCCAACCAGAAGTCACTTTGGCTACCCTTCTTTGCCATAATCTCATAGGCTACCCTATTGAACTCTGGTGACACAGTGGGTTAAAGTGCTGAGCTGCAGAACTTGCTGACTGAAAGGTCACAGGTTTGAATCTGCAGAGCAGCATGAGCTCTGGCTGTTAGCCCCAGCTTCTGCCAACCTAGAAGTTTGAAAACATGCAAATGTGAGTAGATCAATAGGTATCATTCCAGCGGGAAGGTAATGGTGCTCCATGCAGTCATGTCGACCAAATGACCTTGGAGGTGTCTACGGACAATGCTGGTTCTTTGGCTTAGAAATGGAGATGAGCTGAGAAATGGAGATGGAGTTGGACACACTGGACTTAATGTCTGGGGAAAACCTTTACATTTACCTATCCTATCAAACACAACATTAGCTATAAGCCTGTTTTGAGAACAATCTGTCTCTATAAGCTTAATTGTACCTGTCGTCACAGAATATTCTACTTAAGGAAGTGGGAGAGATGGGAAGTGGGAAACAGTGATGTGAGTTGAAAATATTCTCAGAGTATCCTCCAAAGGATTATTCTCTCACATTTTAACAATTTTACCCATTTAAAACAATATATTCTATCTAAGTTCAAGAATACATTGAGCCCACTATATCCACAGGGGTTGATTCCAGGACCTTGCATGGATACAAAAAAGGTGGACAATCATGTATCATATTATTAAATGTCATTGATGGTGAACATGCACACTTCAGCATGCCCAGATTCACTTTGCCATGATTTAATATTATGGGACACAATAATCCATGGTTGGTTGGTGGTAATTACAAATCCAGATCCTCAGATGTGGAGAACACACTGTATTTGGTTTACCAGGGAACTCAAAGTGATGAATCACTTAGAATAGTAGAGGTGGAAGAGACAACATACGTCATCTAGTCCAACCCCCTGCCATGCAGGAAAAGCACAATCAGAAGTATAACTGATGGTGGAAAACCTAGAACACGAGCTGGAACTTCACTGGCTACCAGTCTGTTTCCAGCTAGAAATCACAGTACAAATATATTTTGAGTACAGTTCCAAAAATAACATGAACTGATAAATCCTGTTAAGTGGGTTATACAGACTGAATGTCATTATGCAAAGTTTCAGGGGATAAAATGGCGAGACTTCTTCCTGATTGTTCACTTATTAAACAAGAAGAACAGGATGTAGTGAAAAGTTTTATAAGATTAAAGATATGGCTCATTTTAATTTTAATAGTTGGAAATGTTAATATCTCAAGTTGATAATTTACTGTAACTAAGCATTATAAAGTTGTAAGAGATCCTGAATCACAACTACAGGCAGTTCAACTAATACCCCAAAGGCACCAGGTCCCATCTGGCCAATTGAGCAGGAGTCAACTCCTAGTTAATACTTGGATGAGGGACAATTTATGCACTATGTTTGCTAAGATACTCTGCGCTGAAAGAGGCAAGCTGACTTCTAAATGGAAAAGGAAAATTGAACTTTAGTAGGAGCCCCCTGTGGCGCAGTGGGTTAAACCGCTGAGCTGCTGAACTTGCTGATCAAAAGGTCACAGGTTCAAACCCAGAAAGCGGCATGAGCTCCTGCTGTTAGCCCCAGCTCCTGCCAATCTAGCAGTTCAAATGTGAGTAGATCAATAGGTACCACTCCGGTGGGAAGGTAACGGTGCTCCATGCAGTCATGCCGGCCACATGACCTTGGAGGTGTCTACGGACAATGCCGGCTCTTCGGCTTAGAAATGGAGATGAGCACCACACCCCAGAGTCGGACACGACTGGACTTAATGTGAGGGGAAAACCTTTACCTTTTTAGTCCAATGCACACAGCTATGGAAGCTTAACCAAGGTAGTCTTTGATGAAGAGTTAGGCTACAGTGAAATGAAGAACTCATATGCCTACATTGTAGCAAGTAACAAAATATTTAAATGATGGTACTGTTTTGCTCGCCACATCTTCACATGTACCAATAATACAGTTTTTAAGCTACAAGATTAGAGTTGCACACTATAGGCCAGTCATTGTTTTTATTTAAGAGATTTCTCCTTTGAGAGTATAATGCAAAGTATGTTTTATCTTAGCAGAGACGAGCTAGGTTTCATTTTCATCTTGATTTTCCCTAGTGAAGTTCCACAAAGTATGTTATTGCCATTCAAAGGTCTTTATATTCAATTTCAATAAAAAGGTGCCAAATGCAGCTTCATGTTGATTGAAGTCTCATTTTAATAAGCCACAAATGGGAAGTATTTGATCTTCCCCACTATCATTGGCAATGCTGCATACGGCATTTGGGACCTGAAGGCCCCAACATTTGGAGGACTAAAGGTTATCCAGTCCACCATCCTCCTTGCAGTAAACTGTGGCAAACACAAAATGTAAAGGAAAGGTATAAGGCTCACCTAAACTCATTTATATATAGGAGCTGCAGTGGCGCAATGGGTTAAAGCTTTGTGCCGGCTGAACTGCTGACCTGAAGACTTTTTTTTATCATGTCAGAAGCGAATTGGAGTCGCTTCTGGTATGAGAGAATTGGCTGTCTGCAAGGACGTTGCCCAGAGGATGCTCAGGTGTGTTACCATTCTGTGGCAGGCTTCTCTCACATCACCACCTGGGAAGCTGGGGCTGACAGATGGGAGCTCACTCTGTCTTGTGGATTCAAACCGCCGACATTCAGGTCTTCAGGTCAGCAGTTCAGCCAGCAGGTTTAATCCATTGTGCCACCATGGCCCCTAGTTGTGAAACAGGGGTGAGCTCCCATCTGTCAGCCCCAGCTTCCCATGCATGGACATGAGAGAAGCCTCCCACAGGATGATAAAACATCCAGGTGTCCCCTGGGCAATGTCCAATTCTCTCACACCAGGAATAACTTGCAGTATACTCTCAATTCACTTCTGACATGATTATGTTTTAACTGTGTGAAGTATAACTGAAACAAATTTTGTCGAATAGATCTTTCAATTTTTCTTTGCAACAATGATTCTCAATTAACAATAGGGGACATTACACACATATATAGTTTGGCTCTTTAATTCGCATCCCAAAACAGATACAGCTCTATTTTACACAGTACACATGTTCAGTTTTTTAAAATCCCTTAGGCTTCATCCATAAAGGCCCCATAATAAAACCATCACAGATGACTTTTCAAGTAATATCATTGAATAGCTTTGAGTAGTAGTATGCTCAGATGCTCAACAGAAGGCTGGGTTGAACAAGAGGGGGAAAAAAATCACAGTTTTGAATGTATTTGGGTAAAACAGGTTCAGTAAAACCTGGTACCTAGAGACAATAAACAACAACAAATACGTTTTCATACAATCTAAGATAGTTGTAACTTGTATGTATTAATGCAGGACTACTTTCATTAAGTCAGCTATAATTAGGAACATAACTTTTGAGAAATTACTTCACTGACAAACAGCAGAAATATACACGAAATTAGAGAAAGTTCTGTTCAGATGAGAAAGTGCAAGGACATAAATGATTTAGCACATGAGAAAATATTCATCAGATTAATAACCCTAAGAAACAAAGCAATCAACTTCTTAATTATTATTATAATTTCATTTCAAAAGACACAAATTGTCAGTCAAGTGTTTTTACATAAATTAAGCAAAGGCTTTGGTCAGGACAACTAAATTCTAAATGTATAATATACATTAAGGCACTTTTTTCATAAAAGATAACTGTGTAAACACATTTGACCAAACTTACAGTTGATTTTTTTTTTTTAAAAAAAGACTGCAATATTTTTTTGTAATTTTAAAATGATAACAACTGTGTTTTACTAAGTTCCCAGACAGGACCTGATTCATCCTTGAATGGCAACATGAAAAAATAGGCCTATATGTAAAAGTATTATTGTAGTAATGTAAAGTCAGTTGTGCTACTCAATACATATCTACAGAGTTTGAGTAAGTGGTATTTAACAGCTTCCTTTGCACAATTTAGACTGAATATTTGTAGTACTACCTGGACTACAATTTTCCTGACAGTAAAACCCATGGACCTAGAGATTTCTAGAGGGAACACTTCTCTAAGCATTTCTAGGTCCTACAATGTTACTCCCTGGTCAACCACTGGCAGAAGTCAACCATCAAGTTGCACTGGAGAAAGTAGAGATTCAGAGAGAGGCGTTCTCTCAAGTACAAGTAAATAGTGTTTTCTAACGCTCAGAAAATGGAAGGCCAACTGTATATCAAATGTATATTTTAAATTTCATTGGCATTTAAGAAAATAGACTTCTATAAAAATGGATGGAAAATATGATTTGGGTAATTCCTGAGCCTTAAAACTAACTGCTAGTTACAGCTAGAGTACACTTTTTAAATCAATGGGAGCTAGGCAAGTCAATGCTTATGCAAGTTCCAGTCATTAAATGGACTTACTTTAATTGTGACAAAAATGTTAGGGCTATATATCAAGCCAAGTCTATTAGAGTGTTGTGAAACAAGTAGGATAGTTCCCAGTATGTTCACAGTAAGCTCTGTTTGGTTAATGGGGTCTACTCCCAGGTAAGCCTGTATAGGATTACCACAGAAGGCTGCAGTCCCATACAAACTTACAAAGGAGATGGTCCCACTAGACCAGACATGGGCAAACGTTTTTGCTTTGGGGCCACATTGTGGGTCCAGCTGAGAGGACCAGACCGGGCTGGGAAAGAGGGCGGCTGGGCATGTGCTAGGTGGGATGGGCTCGGGAAGAGGAGAGTCTGGGAAAGGATGGGGCTGGAAAGAGGTGGGGCAGGTCCCAGGTGCTCCTCAGGTTGTCCTCCTTGCATAAGGACGGGGCTGCTTGCCCCATCCTTAAGTCGGAAGGAAAACGAGACATATGGCAACTGACCCAATCCTCCTCCCCCGATCTCTGGGCTGTCCTCTTGGCATTATGCCAGGAGGAGGGCGAGATAGGCGATGGCCGAGAGCACTCCGGAGGGCTCTCAGCCACTGTGTGCCTTCCTCAGGCCATCCTCTCAGCATAAAGACGAAGTTGGTCACACTATCCTTATACTGGGAGGGGAGCAAGACAGGCAGTGGCTATGAGCGCTCCACAGGGCTTTCAGCTGCTGTGTGTCTTCCTCCCCCATCCTTTCTGTATAAGGATACGGTGGGTCTGAGGTAAGCATCCAAGGGGCCGCATACAGCTCCTGGGCCTTAGTTTGCCCATGTCTGCACTAGACACATTAGCAATTATTCGTAATTAAATATCACAGCATATAACAGAGAGATTATTCAAAGAAATGTCTACCATACAACATGGCACAGAGGAAATGTCAATTGCTGGCAAGAGCAAAGTTTGACCTACTTCTAATGCTACAAAAATGGCACAGATTTAATGCAGCGCTTATTCATTATCATATACCAATATTTGTTAACTGTCATCTTTAAAAGATTTTTGCAAAAGATGTTTGCAAAAGATGTATGCAGAGTTGATGAAAAGAGCAAGTGCTATACAAAACCTTTTTTAAAAAAGTATGTATTTTCTGCAGTAGTAGATCATCTTCACATCCACCGTATTTTGAACAGCTTTGTAACAAAAAAAGAGAAGGCTCTCATAATCCGGACACATTAGTATAAACTGAGAAAGTCATTATTGTCTTTAAAGTTCTCTCTTGTCTTCATACCGACACATACATGCAGCTCTTTGACTGTCAAGGTATGGTTTGCATCCTAAATGTATGACAGCATCAAACACTAGTTGCACTGTTGATTCACAAGCTGAAAAGGAGAGTGCAGAGGGAAGAGAATCAATAGTAAACAAGGATACAGAGAGAAGAAAATCAATTTCTATTTCAGTAATATAGTAAAAGGCAACTATCACAAAGTTAGGTTTTTGGAGTACCACTTTCAAGATCCCATAGCAGCATAAAACATGTTTTAGTTAAAATCATTTGTCAAAGCGTTAATTGCAATTTTGTAAGTTAGATTTACAACCATATAATTTCCTTCCTATTCACATTTTCAGTAATGATACCACTGATTCATATTGCATTATATGGCAGTATAATGGCATGGTTGGATTTTAAGGTCTTTAGCCTTCTCTGTCTCTTCTCTTATGCCACAGCAAACTACAAATCCCAGGATTCCATAGTATTGAGCCACAACAGTTAAAGTAGTTCAAACTGCATTAATTTTACAGTGTTGTGGCACTTTTGGTCTCCCTCTTATCTTTTGAACACACAACATTCAGTCTCAGATTAAAACCGTATATACTCGAGTATAAACCAATCCAAATATAAGCTGAGGTACCTAATTTTACCACAAAAAAACGAGGAAAACATATTGACTTGAATGTAAGCTGAGGGTGGGAAATGCAGCAGCTACTGGTAAATTTAAAAAAAATTGATTCCAATAAAATTACATTAATTGAGGCATCAGTAGATTAAATGTTTTTGAGTATTTATATAAACTGCAATTTAAGATAAGACTGCCCAACTTCGATTAAACAATTATTCTAACCTTCTTCAATGTAAATGTATCCTTCCAATAATAATACAGAGAGTAAAATAATGTAAATGTAATAACAGTAATAACAGAGTAAAATAATAAATGTAATATAAATAATAGAGTAAAATAATAAATGTAATAATAATAGAGTAAAATAATAAATGTAATAAAATAATAGAGTAAAATAATGTAAATGTAATATTAATAATAATAATAGAGTATAATAATAAATGGAATAAAATGGAATAAAAATAAAGTGACACAATAAAGATCATTGACTTGAGTATAAACTGAGGGGGGCTTTTTCAATGTAAAAAAAGGTTGAAAAACTCGGCTTATACATGAATATATACATAATGTTTTCAAACAATTATTCTACCATTATTGTTTGGGGAAATGGTTTTGGAAGATGTCTGGCTTAGAACACACATGGGTAATTATTGTAACCTGCTTGAAAATAAACAAGAGAAATGAATTCATTCCTTTAAAAAAAAGTCTCATAATGGTGCTAGATTTCTTCAAACTGCTTTCCTTTCTAATAGCTGGAGATGACTAACATTGTCATCTTTTTTAAAACTTGCATATAAGAGCATGACAGGAGGGTGTTATCTGTTAGAACATAATTTGCATTTATTAATTGCACATAAATAAAACCTCAGATCTTGAATGCATGGCAAAACAGAGCAGATAGTAGTCATGTAAGTTCAAATTTTATTTAGTTATTGCGCAGTTACAAAAAACTATCACAGGTGTATTTCTCTAGACAAGCTTACCTCGTACACTCTCTGGAATTCCTAGAGTCTTCTGTACATCTCTACAGATCTTTGAAAGGCAGTATTGGAATTCCTCGTCACAATCATGTTTTTTGTTGCCACAGGTATCATAGCACCTGTCGTGTTGATTGCAGCATTTCGTCATGGAGGGAATGCCTATATCAAACTGGGAAGCAATTCCATAGCATTTTGTGAGAATGCTTTGTGAGGCATACCAATACATAGCATTAATGTGTACCAGCATAAACAATGTCCCCTGAAAGAAATGCATAAAGAGCTGGAAAAGCATGGGTGTTTCAAAATTATGAGCCTAATTTCAAAGCAGTATATTTCACGATGGCAACATGTTAAAATGACACAAAAAGTTTAGGAGTTATTAAATGTTCATGTTTTATTAACCATGGTATAAATACTCTAGGTACCCTCCACTTACTGTACGGAAAACATTAAATTTTAAATTGGGTCCATCTTTTTGAAGCACTCTGTATTTCAGAAAACTAGTAAATTAAACAAAAGGGATTAAGATGAGTGCAAAACCTAACATATACATTTAAGGTAAAAATCTGAATAGGGATGCTTTTAGCCATCAGAAGTTTTAAATGATAGAAATGTTCCCCTCAAACTCTCATAAAAAGAGAAAACGGATGCTTCAGACTTTTAAAAAATGAATTATTTTGTTAGCGAATTTAAGGATAAGTTAAATTTTGAGTATGAATGTTTTCCATAAATCTATTTTTGATGTTAAAGTTAACCCAGATGCATTTCCATTTTAATATATTTCCTTCCTTTGACATATAAATAATCAAAGTGAAGAAAAACTCAATGACTCAGAAGTTACTTACATGAACTCCAAAGAGGGGAGACCCACATCCATTTGGTGGTTGAGGTTTATAGCCATAACGGGGAAAAGGTTTATATCCTATAAAATATGAAGGGTTGCAAGTACTTAAAATAATTTAGGATTTGATGCCTCAAAACAAGAGTCCATAAGCAATATTCTCTAGTATAATTTATTTATTTATTCCCTATATAAATGCTCCGCTATTCTCACCCTGAGGGGGACTCAGAGCAGATTACAGATTAGCCACTTCAGTGCCACATTGCAATACAAAGTATATAAAATACAACACATTAAACATCAACAAAATAAATATTTAAATACATAAACTGTTAAAAACCATATATCTAAAACTGTGATCATCCTTCATATTGCTACATACCAATTCCATGTTGCACTATTCCTGAATGCCTGATCCCAGAGCCAAGTCTTAACTTTTTTTCTAAAGATAAGGAGGGAGGGGGTCAATCTAATATCATTGGGGAGGGAGTTCCATAGCAGAGAGGCCGCCACTGAGAAGACCCTGCCTCTCACCCCCACCAGTTATGCTTGTGAAGGGGGTGGGATTGAGAGCAGGGCCTTCCCAGCAGATCTTACTGCTCATAGAGGGAGATACGTTTCGGACAGGTAAGCTGGACTGGAACCGTTTAGGGCTTTATAGGATAAAGCCAGCACTTCGACTTCTGCCCAGAAGCAAACCGGCAGCCAGTGGAGCTGACTTAACAGGTGTTGTATGCTCCCTGTATGCCGTTTCGGTTAGGAATCTTGCTGCTGCCTGTTGGACTACTTGGAGCTTTGAAACAGTCCTCAAAGGCAACCCCACATAGAGCATGTTGCAGTAGTCTCTTTGAGATGTAACAAGAGCATGGACCACCGCAGCTAAGTCTGACTTCTCAAGGTATAGGCGCAAGTTTTAATTGTGCAAAGCTTCCCTGGCCATTGCTGAAACCTAGGGTTCCAGGCTCAGCGGTGAATCCAGGATAACTCTCAAGCTGCGAACCTGTATCTTCAGGGAGAGTGTAACCCCATCCAGCACAAGCTATAGCCCTATACCACCCTGTTTAGCCTTTTGACTGACTAAGAGTAACTCTGTCTTGTCTGGATTCAATTTCAATTTGTTTGCCCTCATCCAGGCTGTCACAGTTGCCAAGCATTGGTTCAGGACCTGAACAGCCTCCTTAGTAGCAGGTGGAAAGGAGTGATAGAGTTGGACGTCATCTGCATACGGATGGCTTTGAACTCCAAAACTCCAGATGATCTCCCCCAGTGGCTTCATGTAGATGTTAAACAACATGGGGGACAATACTGAACCCTGTGGGACCCCACAGGTCAAAGGCTGTGGAGCAGAGCAGGTGTCCCCCAACAACACCTTCTGGGAGCAATCCTCCAGGAAGGATCAAAGCCACTGCAAAACAGTACCTCCAAGCCCCATTCCTGCAAGGCATCCCAGAAGGATACCATGGTCTACAGTATCGGCCACTGAGAGGTCCATGAGAACCAACAGGCACACACTGCCCTTTCAACTTCTCAGCATAGATAACCCACTAAGGAGACCAATGCTGTTTCAGTTCCATGTCCTGGCCTAAGACCAGACTGTGCCGAATCCAGTTAATCAGTTTCCTCCAAGAACACCTGGAGTTGCAAGGCCACCACACGTTCTAGGAATTTGCCCAAAAAGGGGAGATTGGAAACTGGCTGAAAGTTGTTCAGTTGAGTGGGATCCAGTGATGTCTTTTTCGATAGTGGTTTTATCACTGCCTCCTTTAAGTCCACTAGAATCTTGCCTTCTTGTAAGAAGGCATTAACCCCTACCTTCTCCCACTCTGCCAAACCCCCTCTGGCCTCCTTTACCAGCCAGGATGGGCAGGGGTCTAGGATGCATGCGGTTGCCCTCACCTCTACAAGGATGTTGTTCACGTCCTCGGGCTGCACCAATTGAAATGAATCCATTAAAACCGGACAAGCAGGTGCTCATATAATTGTGTGCTAATTGTCTTCATTCAAAGAGAATCAATAGAACAATTCAGTGTATTGTTGCTGTGTGCGTTCAAGTGGTTTCTATCATATGGCACGCCTGTCATGGATGCTTCTTGGCAGGATTTCTTCAGAGGGATATGCCTTTGCTCTCCTTTGGGGCTGAGACTGAGTGACTTCACCAAGGTCACCAAATAGCTTTCCATGGCTGATTTGAACCCTGGTCTCCAGATTAATCATCCAATGTTCAAACCACTATACTACACTGGTTCTCAAGTAAGTGTTATATGAATGCATCAACATATCATTTTTATGGTTACTGAATGTAGCTTAGCAATAGTATCACTAATCTTATCAAGGTTTTCGTACAACTATATTACACTAAGAGGTCAATCCTAGAATGTCTTTGCAGAAGCAACGCCCACTGAATTTAGTAGGAAGCATTCTAAGGTTAAGTAGATATAAAATTGTATTTCTCAAAATATAATAGTCTTACTGATGTTTAGGTAACCTTTCTCTATTAATATTGGTAAAGTGACATCTTCGACACCAGTTATAGTCTGACTCTGGGTGGTGGTGCTCATCTCCATTTCTAAGCCAAAGAGCCAGCATTGTCCATAGACACCGCCAAGGTCATGTGGCTGGTATGACTGCATGGAGCACCATTACCTTCCTGCTGAAGCAGTACCTATTGATCTCTCACATTTGCATGTTTTTGAATTGCTAGGTTGGCAGAAGCTGGGGCTAACAACAGGAGCTCACCCCATCCCACAGATTTGAACTGCTGACATTTGGGTCAGCAAGTTCTGCAGCTTAGAGGTTTAACCTGCTGCACTACCACAGCCCCATTAAAGTTCACATACTTTATCTTTTTAAAAGTGTATACATATTTCACATATTAATACAGGTGCTTTAAGCATGCCACTCATTTTCAATGCAATTTATCACAATGTGCAGAAAGTGTTGCAGCTCTTTCAAGTGGAAGATAACAATGCTGGGTACCTCCTAGCTTTGTTGTGTTAATAATAAGTAAATTCTTGTGATCATCTTTTGAACTAAAGAAACAAATGTGTACAAGTAAAATATGAAACAAAATTGAAGCAACAACATACACAATATGTGGATGTATACATCTCCCTAATTAGTCATTGTTTCAGCTCCCTGACCAAAAAAAAAAATCTTCCATAAAATGTAGAGAACTAATGTTAGGAAAGTTTGAAAAGCTGGGAACTAATTGGTTAACATAATCCGGATGCAGGAAGAATGGATTACTTTTCACATTCATTTCCAAACATTTTAATCCACAATAACAAAGCTGATACCTATACACGGAACCCATTGATGAACTACCTGCTCTTTCCGTAACTCAATACAATTGACCCCTTGTATTCATGGATTCTTTATCCACAGACTCAACCCTCCAGAATTTGATTTTTTTAAATCCAAAAAGCAAAGCTTGATTTTCTATTTTACATAATGCATTGTATATAATGGGACTTGAACATCCACAGTTTTTGGTATTGGGGGAGGCTGTCCAAGATCCAGATCCCAGTGGATACCAAGGGTCCATTGTAATTGAAAAACAAAATGCTATGCACCTTCAGGTCTTTTCCAGCTTCTGGAGTGCAACTACACTGTGGAAATAATGCAGTTTGACATCACTTTGATTGCCATGGTGCAATGCTATGGAATCATGGGATTTGTAGCTTGGAAAAGCACTGACACTCTTTGGCAGAGGATGCTAAAGGCTGTGTGAAACTATATATCCCAGGATTCCATAGCATTGAGCAATGACAGGAGATGCATGCTTGGTGACTAGAGCCTACTGGCTGTTAGAAATTGTGGGAGTTGGAGTCCAACCTGGAGGGCCAAAGATTGCCCATGCCTGGTCAATACTATAGAATTAAGGTCGCTTAACACCACTTTAACTGCCATTGCTCAATGCTGTGAGTTTCACCAGAGTTTTAGTTTGGCAGGGCACTAGTACTCTTTGGAAGAGAAGGCTAAAGATCTTGTAAAAATACAACTCCCATGAACCCGTGGCACTATTGTTGCTATTGTGTGCGTTCGAGTTATTTCCAACCTATGGATTTCTAAGTCCTCTCTATCACAGAGTTTTCTTGGCAAGATTTTTTTCAGATGAGGTTTGCCATTGCTTTTTTCTGAGGCTGAGAGTGTGTGTAACTTCCCCAAGGCCATCCATGGTCAAACAGGAATTAGAACCCTGAACTCCAGAGTCCTAGTCCACTGCTCAGATCAATATGCCACACCATAAGTGCTCTGTATTCATTAACACTACATAGTCATGATTATGGCACTATTGTCGTGATACTAAATGCCACTCTAAATGCCACTAGGTAGCAGCTGCAATGAAAAACAGAGGTCTCTCCAGCTGGCAATTGGGGTGCAGGAGGATGCTGGCTGTTAGAGATAATAGGAGTTGGAGTCCAAAAGACCTGGAGGGCCGAAGTGTGCCCATGCATGCTATAGGCACACCTGGTGACTAGGATTCCAATCCACCTGAGTCACACTGAGATAGTGGGCACCTTCTGAGGCTGTTAGGAATTGTGGGAGTTGGAGTCCAAAACACCTGGAGGGCCGAAGTGTGCCCATGGCTGCTATAGGCACACCTGGTGAGTAGGATTCCAATCCATTCCTGAGTCACACTGAGATAGTGGGCACCTTCTGAGGCTGTTAGGAATTGTGGGAGTTGGAGTCCAAAACACCTGGAGAGCCAAAGTGTGCCCATGCCTGCTATAGACACACCTGGTGACTAGGATTCCAATCGGCGCCTGAGTCGCACTGAGATAGTGGGCACCTTCTGAGGCTGTTAGGAATTGTGGGAGTTGGAGTCCAAAACACCTGGAGGGCCGAAGTGTGCCCATGGCTGCTATAGGCACACCTGGTGACTAGGATTCCAATCGGCGCCTGAGTCACACTGAGATAGTGGGCACCTTCTGAGGCTGTTAGGAATTGTGGGAGTTGGAGTCCAAAACACCTGGAGAGCCAAAGTGTGCCCATGCCTGCTATAGACACACCTGGTGACTAGGATTCCAATCGGCACCTGAGTCGCACTGAGATAGTGGGCACCTTCTGAGGCTGTTAGGAATTGTGGGAGTTGGAGTCCAAAACACCTGGAGGGCCGAAGTGTGCCCATGCCTTCTATAGGCACACCTGGTGACTAGGATTCCAATCGGCACCTGAGTCACACTGAGATAGTGGGCACCTTCTGAGGCTGTTAGGAATTGTGGGAGTTGGAGTCCAAAACACCTGGAGGGCTGAAGTGTGCCCATGGCTGCTATAGGCACACCTGGTGAGTAGGACTCCAATCGGCGCCTGAGTCGCACTGAGATAGTGGGCAACTTCTGAGGCTGTTAGGAATTGTGGGAGTTGGAGTCCAAAACACCTGGCGGGCCAAAGTGTGCCCATGCCTGCTATAGACACACCTGGTGACTAGGATTCCAATCAGCGCCTGAGTGGCACTGAAATAGTGGGCACCTTCTGAGGCTGTTAGGAATTGTGGGAGTTGGTGTCCAAAACACTTGGAGGGCCAAGGCTCCTTCTGAGGCTCCTTCAGAGGCACCTGTGGTGGAGGCTCCTTCTTTGGAAGATTTTAAACAGGCTGGATGGCCATTTGTCAGGGGTGATTTGAATGCAATATTCCTGCTTCTTGGCAGGGGGTTGGACTGGATGGCCCATGAGGTCTCTTCCAACTCTTTGATTCTATGAAGTGTGCCCATGCCTGCTATAGTCACATCTGGGTCTCAACTCGGCCTCACCTTCTGAGCCCCTTCTATGGGCACCTTCTGCGGCTCAGCTACCCAGACCCCCCTGTCTCCTGGGGCATGACCAGCCTTACCATCGCTGCACTTGTACCGGCAAAGCCCATCCTCTCCTCCCAGGAGGTCCAAGGCGGCATTCAGGTAAGTGTCGATCTTGTGGACGCCGTTCCGGATGGTCTTCAGCGTCATCCTCCAGTCGGGGGTCTGGGCTTCGTGGCAGCGGGCCCGTGGGCTCCCCCCCAGCAGCAGCAGCAGCAGCAGAGCCCAGGCCAAGAGCAGGGCGGGCAGGGGCCCCCGCCTCCCCATCCTCCCCGGCGGACTCACCGGCCTCTGGGGCTCAACGCGCCCTCCACCTGAGCCATGGCCAGCCTCCTCCGGCAAAGGAGCCCGACTCCTCCAGCGGAAGGCAGCCACTCGGCCTCAGTGACGCGCCCTGCGTGAAAGGGGAGGGCTCCCAGCGGGGTGCCTGGCCATGTCCACCCTTCCTCGGGAGGTGGAGCAAAGTGTCTTCGCGCAAAAACCCAGAAGAAGATCGTGGCGGAAAGAGGGAGGCAGATCGGCCAGGGTTGAAAGGTGAACTCCCCGCTCAGGTTCCCCTCCCACTCGTGGACCTTAAAGGAACAGCAAGGAGGCTCGGGACGCCTGAGGTGTATTATAACTGGAGGAGTGTGCGTGGCTCGGTCGCATCTGCACTAGAGCAGGAATGTAGTCTGATTCAACGGCTATGGAATCATGAGAGTGGCAGTTTGACAAAGTCTTTAGCTTTCTGTGTTCAATTCATAGGTAAAAAGGTAAAGGTTTCCCCCTGACATTCAGTCCAGTCGTGTCCGACTCTGGGGGTTGGTGCTCAGCTCCATTTCTGAGCCAAAGAGCCGGCGTTGTCTTGGCTGTGTGTTGCCAATAATAATAATAATAATAATAATAATAATAATAATAATAATAATAATAATAATAATAGGGTTGTTGTAGGTTTTTTCGGGCTATATGGCCATGGTCTAGAGGCATTCTCTCCTGACATTCTCTCCTGACGTTTCGCCTGCATCTATGGCCAGCATCCTCAGAGGTAGTGAGGTCTGTTGGAACTAGGAAAGGGTTTATATATCTGTGGAATGACCCCCTAAAAAAAGTCAGCCCCCCCCCCAAAAAAAACAACAAAATCCTGGCTACGGGTCTGCTGGTAGCCAGATTTTGTTCATTTTCATGGTTTCCTCCTTTCTGTTGAAATTGTCCACATGCTTGTGGATTTCAATGGCTTCTCTGTTGGTGGTTGTTGGTGTGGTCCAGCATTTCTGTGTTCTCAAATAAAATGCTGTGTCCAGGTCGGTTCATCAGGTGCTCTGCTATGGCTGATTTCTCTGGTTGAAGTAGTCTGCAGTGCCTTTCATGTTCCTTGATTTGTGTTTGGGTGCTGCGTTTGGTGGTCCCTATGTAGACGTGTCCACAGCATGCATGGTACATGGTAGACTCCCATGGTACCACCAAACGCCATTGTTCCCCATCCTAGTCTCCAGGGCAGCAAAAAACAAGCTTGCTTCCTCCTCCCTATGACTTCCCCTTACATATTTATACATGGCCATCATGTCTTCTCGGTCTTCTCTTCTGCAAGCTACACATATGCCAAGCTCTTTAAGTCGCTCCTCATAGGACTTGTCCTCCAGACCCTTGATCATTTTAGTTATCCTCCTTTGGTCACATTCCAGCTTGTCGACATCTCCCTTAAATTGCAGTGCCAAGAATTGGACACAGTGTGATTCCAGGTGTGGTCTGACCAAGGCAGAATAGAGGGGTAGCTAGCATGACTTCCCTGGATCTAGACACTAGACTCCTATTTATGCAGGCCAAAATCCCATATTATCTTGATTTGTTTTTAGGCACCCAAACAGATCATGTAGCAAAACCACAGTACTGTATGTGAAACCTCAAGGAAAACAGTGTTTTAGGACTGATATTTCTCAAGTATAGTTGTGTGAAAACAAGTTTGCTATTCTTGCAATTGAGACAAAGAAGACTTACCTCCAGACTGTGCTTGGGCAATGCCAAAGCTTAACTTGGCCTGTTTCTCTACTGCAATCCCAGCTGACATCTTCCCTGACCATTGCACTGCCTTTCATGTTGTCCCATCATGTATCCGGTTTTTTAGCGTTCTGAACTGAAATGTTCCTATTTGTCCCACTTTATAGTTCATCCCTACAGTTAAGATCTTTGATTTCATCACACACACTTAAACAAGCATTTTTCTGCTTCTTGGCAGGGGGTTGGACTGGATGGCCCACAAGGTCTCTTCCAATGCTAGGATTCTATGATTCTAGTGCATGATGTAAGGGTTGAGCACTGGACTCTGAAACCAGGATTTGTATCCTCACTCAACCAAGGTCAAGGTGGTTTCCTTCAGTTTTAGAGTCAGGCAACAGCAAACCTTTTCAAAACAAATCTTTTCAAGAAGACTGTGATATGGTTTCCACAAGTCAAAAAGAACTTGAAGGTAAACAACAGTAGTACCAATTTTCCCAAGGGTTATTTCTAAGATGCTTAGTTGCTCAAAGCAAAGTCTGAAATGCATCCTACCTCACCCTCATTCCATACACGGGCACAAACAGGACAAATAGTTCAATATTACTTTGATTTTAGAAATGTGATAGCATCTTCCATTATAACTGAGAGCAATTGTAGGCTGAAGGACTCAGGAAGCGACTGGTTTCCCTCCACATCTGGCACTTGGAGCAATTTCTCCACCCAGCCGTCCTCCCTAATTTCCCGGCACTTACATTTCTGGAACAGTCAGAAAGTTCAAATGATGATTGGTTACTATTTGTGTGTTTACCTGACAAGTGAATGATATTCCAAGTTTTTGTTTAATCAGTTGACCAGTTCCTTGGCACATGGATAGTAACAGTATTGTCTGCAGAAATGGGAGTGCTAATTTCCTGATTCAGTAGATCAGGGTAACAAAATCTAGAATTTTTAAAAAGTCAACAAATAATGGTATCACATGACCGTATTCTTATATAACTACAGGAAAGGGTAGTACTGATTTCCTTATAAGAGGGGAAAGAACAGTAAAGTAGAGATTGGTGGATTTCTTGTCACGAGACAATGATTCCATTTTGAGTTTTACTACAGACTTTAAGGCAGGGGTCCCCAAAATAAGGCCCACGGGCTAGATGTGACCCTCCAAGGTCATTTACCCACCTCTCTCCCTGAACTTTAGACCTAGCACCTCTCTAACGACTTGGAGGCACACAGTAATAATAATCCTAATTAACTTGACTATCACATCAGCCAAAAGCACGCCCACACTTCCCAGTAAAATACTGACAAATGTCCCTTCCTAGGTACAGATTTCTCTCACTTCCTGTTGTCTCACCCCCGTTCTTTACTATGAATCTTTTGGAAGTTGGATGTTTGTAAATTGGGAACTGCCTGTACTCTGTTTGTCTGTAGAGCATTATCTGATTTATTCTGGACTTTCTGGTGAATTTGTAATGTGCTGTTTCTGGCTTAATTCATGCTACAGCATACATTGGGAGTATGGTTTTTGTAGCCATCTCATCCTCAAGCTGACTTCCAACTGCATTATATGGTCTGTGTAAGAGCACTCTCAATGTTGATGACAAAATTTTGAGTTTTTCTAAGTCCCATGGATACCAAAGGATGCCTGCCAATCTTCACTAACCGCGGATGGCACAAATCAGGAACCAGAAACCGATAATCTCACCACATTGAAGGCAAACAACAGAAACTTTATTCAATTTGCACAAACGGGACACTTGTACAGCACGTATGTCTGAAGGGTATAAGTGTAAAAACATAATGAAAGCATAATGATAAGCAGACATTTTTATGCATAGATTCCCATTCACTGACATTGTTCTGTTTTGAAACTCACTCCCTTTTGCCTGATTGGTAGGCACTGAGAAACTGACTGGCATCCCCCAAGCCTCTGATTGGTCAGGAGGCAGGTCCAAGCTAGAGCTCAACCTAATTGGAGGGGGCAGCAGTGACATAGCTGGGGATCTCCTCCCAGCTGGGCAGGGAGGCCCTGAGGCTTCCAATGGACTGGCAGAGGGATCTAGGGGAGGGAGGGGACACTAGAGGTTGCGCCAACCCTTTGGTAGGTGGTGTTTGAATGTGGAAAGCAAAGCAAAAACTGATCTGACATAATTATGCAGATACTGGGGCCCAGCTGGAGAACACAATAGGAGTTGCTGTCTGAGACATCTTTCCACGGTAGGAGACCAAGAGTCTCAAAGATGTATATGTGTTGATGTGCTTGTAATTGGAGTTTCATCCTAGACTTTTGTCTCGTGGATATCAGTGACCCCTGGAGGGGAAATGCTGGGCAGCTGGCAGCTGGATCCCCACTGAGATCCAGGAAGGTCCTTTGTCCCCCAGATTAGGTCCCATTTCTGGTTCTCACACAGGGCACAGAAGGGGCTTCTGGAATTGCTCAAGAGTTCATAGGTTCATCTGCATTTTCTTTCATTTTATAGAAAATAATAATAATAATAATAATAATAATAATAATAATAATAATAGATAAAAATATTAAAGTGAATTCATGTGGTGCTTGGTATAGACTCAGAGTCCTTCCACACAACCCTATATCCCAGAATATCAGGGTAGAAAATCCCACATTAACTGCTTTGAACTAGAATATATGGCAATGTATCTATCAGATAACCCAGAATTATCAAGGCAGATATTGTGGGATCTTTTGCCTTGATATTCTGGGATATAGGGCTGTGTGGAAGGGCCCTCATAGAGAGAGAAGAAGGGGCTGAAGAGCCTATGTGTAACAGTGAGCCTGTATAAGAGTTGCATGAAGCTATAGGAGACCTAGGTTGGATGTATGCTGCAGAATTATAGCAGCCTGGAGCCTCTTTAACTGCCATGGCTCAATGCTATTGAATTCTGGGGTTTGTAATTCGGTGAGACACTGGCCCTTGTGAAGCTATAATTCACTTGAGTCCATAGCATTGTGCAATGGCAGTTAAACTGGTGTCAAACTGCATTAATTCTACAATGTAGATCCACCCTGTGCCCCCAATTAGCCATGGCCAATCATGTTCTCTCATTCTGAGTTATTTAACAATATTTTCCTGCAGATAAATTGCGGGGGAGGGGGAGGGTCATGGGCCAGCCCACGCCAGAGCTCCCTGTCAGCTGTCACCACCCACACAGCTCCTTCAGAGTCAAGCCAGTCACTTCAAGTATGCCATCCATTCATCTTGCCCTTGGTCGGCCCTTCTTCCTTTTTCCTTCCATTTCCCCCAGAATCATTGTCTTCTCAAAGCTTTCCTGTTTTCTCATTATGTGGCTAAGTACTTCATCTTTGCCTCTAATATTCTTTCCTCCAGTGAGCAGCTGGGCATTATTTCTTGGAGTATTGACTGGTTTGATCTTCTCGCAGTCCAAGGCAC